AATTCAAACATATAGTGTACATCATTCAATTTTAAAATCAAATCATAACATTTAAGTCTCTTAAAAGAATGAAATTAATTAGAGAATTCAATCTAACCAAATTTACATTGCCAAGTCAATAACAAAAAGGAAATCAAAGAGACTAGATATGAATGACAGCAGAATCATAAAGCATGAGACTAAGAAAACTCAAATAAAAATTCCATCTCCCTTGAAAAACTCCAAAGAAAATTCAGCCACTCATTTCAATCTCCTCATGACTGATTGAAGAAAGATGTCTGTGAGAGTTGCCATGGACGTTCAATGCTTGAAGAAAACAGTGGATGATGTATGAGACACTGAAACACGAGAGAAGTCAGCGATCGGTGTGACAAATCTGCGACCCCATGCCTTCGAACTGAAACCGAGAGAGGGAGACGAGCATGTGCGACGAACTCTGTGTGATAAATCCGTGTGCGGTGGTTCGGCGTGAGATGACTGTGTGATCCACCCTCTCGTCTGAACCCATAACCGAGTCTCAGCTGCCTCTCGTCAATGGCCGAACTCACCAAGACGATAACCCGTGCGTGCTTCTCTTTTTTCCTTTTTTTTCCGTTCTGCGTTTTCCCTCCTCTTTGAAAAGTCAAAAGCTGATTTAAAAAATCAAATGCAAAAAATTATCAGTTGGCCCCTAAAGGCCTAAAATGTTTAAAAACACAAAGTAACTGAATCTAAATTAATTTAATGCGCTTGAATCAATTAAAGTCTTAAAAATAAGAACAAAAATTATTCAAGTAATAAAATATATTAATAAATTAAAAATTTAGATTAAAAAATTAATTTTAATAAAATATATAAAATACCCAAAATGTTTCTAATATCAAAACTCAATGCAAATGAATTAATAATAAAATTCAATGATAAAACTATACGTTTAAATCAATAAAATAAAATGAAAAATAAAAAATGCAATAAAATAAAAAATAAAAAACACAAATGCAAAATATGTGAGTCATCATAATCATTTGTAAAATGATAAGTTTCATTACTAACTTTAAAAATTTTTCTTAATAATTTAACAAACAAGTCTCCATTAATGATTTAATAAGTAACTATTTATTAACTCATAAATCCCTTCATTGGCTTTGAAAATTTTTATTAATAATTTGATAAGTAAATTTTAATAAAATAACGAGTACATATTTATAAAAATCACTTTATATTAAATTTTTTTAATAAATCTTTGTTGATGATAAATCTCATTGCTAGCTTTAAAAATTTTTCTTAATAATTTAACAAACAAGTCCCATTAATAATTCAACAAATAATTATTTATGAAATAACAAGTTCTGTTATTGACTTTGAAAATTTTTTTAAGTAAATTTTAATAAAATAACAAGTTTATATAAACTTTTAATATGTAAGCTTTTAGTAATAAAAATAAATAAAAATTTATAAAAATCACTCCATATTAAATTTTTTTAACAAATCCTTATTATTAATTTAATAAGTAACTATTTGTGAAATAATAAATCCTATTACTAACTTTAAAAATTTCTCTTAATAATTTGATTAGTAAATTTATGAAAATAACAAGTCCATATAAACATTTAACATATTATTATGAACTTGATTAATGAACAATACAAATTTTTATAGTATATATTTTAAATTTTATTTTTACTTTTTATGTCAATACTTATTAGGAGTTTAATAATTATTTATCATTTTAAAAATCACTACTTGTGAAATTATTAATAAAATTTGTTAAAAGATTTAATATGCACCCATTTTTATAAAAGATTTTGGATCAACGACTTTCTTCACGATGTTGAGTAAATCAATCCCTTGATGAGGCAAGGTCGAAGAACCATGTGGGTGGACCGATATATTTCCAGAGGAATTGACAAAAAGTACGGAGGACCCTAGTTTTGAATCTACGAAGGAAGGCAGACAAAGAGGATGACCACCGTGAATTCTCGACGGTGACAAAGTTTCCGGTGGTGGCAACATCGATTGTCGCCTGAGATTTCTAAAATAATGCGTCCGCGTCCTCAAATGGAGGCTCTGCATCTCTTCTTCTTCTTCTTCTTTTTATTATTATTATTATTTTGTGTAAGAGCCGGGGCTAGGACCAATCAGAGTATTATTCAAAGCGAGGGATTGAAGCCTCCATATACTCACAATACAATCGAGAAACAATCTCAATCTCATTAGAAGACGTCTCCATCACAAGGCAAACTCACTTCGCAGGCCAATCTACACAAAATTACCTTCTTTAACTAGATTTTTAGCCCGGAACATTAATCCACCCAATTCAAGAGATATGAAAGGGAGCAAAAAAATTTAATGAATTCATTTTTTTTTTTATAAAAAGGGCAGTCAATTTGTAACTCCATGTATGTTAAAAATATAAAGAATATTTTTTATTTTAAAATTGGTAACACCTACCTAAATAGAAAATAAAGCTTGTCGAGATAAAAATTATAGTTGATTTTAAAACAATATAACTATAAAATAATCAAAAAAATATTTATTCGCTTGATACCCAAATCAAAATGAGCTAAAATATATTTTTCATCTTTTAATGTTATATAAGTTTTAAATTTAGTTTTTTTTCTTTATAAAAAAAACTATAAAGTATGTTAATATAATATCATACATTTTAAAAATCTAGCCAATTCTATCTAATAAGATAAAGTTATTTATTATTATTGTAATATGTAAAATTTAAAAGTATTATTTAAAATATAATTTAAATATCTAAAAAAATTTAACATTGATAACCTTAAGTTAAAAACATTAATTAAAAAAATAATTGCTTCAGATGGCACTGTAGAACAACAGTGCCGTCCGATGGCAATTCTAAAGGGTGGGGATTTGAATAGGAACAAAACAAATTTTTCCTACTCGAGCACAGTATGCTCATTCTTGATGAAATCTAGATCATTCAGGTTTTAATTTGAATAATCTAAATTTTAAATATTATTATATAATTTTAAATTATATTTATTAAAATAAAATTTTTAAAAAATTATAAAATAATTTTAATAAATTTTTTATTTTTAATCTGATCTAGATCTAAATTGGACCCTCTAAATTAAATTTAGATCAAATTAAAAATAAAAAATTTATAAAAATTATTTTATAATTTTTATATTTTTTTAATAAATATAATATAAAATTACACTTAAAATATGGACCATCCAAATTTTTTAATAAATATAATATAAAATTATACTTAAAATTTGAATAGTACAAATCTCATCTCAAAGATGAGCATATGATGTGAAAATTGAGCCCGACTTAAACTCGTGATTAACAACAATTTCAATCCATGTATATATACAAGATAATCTTGTCTTTATACAAAAAATATTTTTAACTAAATATCTATGCTAATAAACATTTTTATTTAATTGAAAGCAGCTAACATCACAATAATTTTTTTGTTTTGTCTCTAATAATATTAGAATTAATATCATGTGCAGCATCCGTGGAACGAGGCAAGCTCTGCATCTCTTTATCAGTGTGTATATGTATAAGATAATTAATATGATCATGGAACGTCCATTTATTTATCTTAATTGTGGAGAGAGATCACATTTTTTAAATGTAATTCATGTCTATTAGAGGACTCATATTCCATATATCATGTTGTAAAGAAGATAGCAGCTAGCTTCATCTCATGAGCACTGCGCAAGCTTCCTCATCGATTTCCTGGTCGGCCTAATACAGTTGATGAACAGATCAATTTTGTGACTGCAATCGGAGTGCTTTGTTTGTGACTAACGCACGCCAAACATTTGGTAATACACAAAATTTTCATATTTTGTAATTTATTATATCTTGTAAATTATTCCAGTGTATTTGGTTAGAAGAGAGGGGAGAAATTTTAGGGGAGGGGAGGGGAGGGCTTTTAATGAACTTTAATTTGGTTTAGAAAAGGAAGGGAGGAGAACCAATAATAATTTTATTCTTATCAATTTTAAATTGGTTTATATTTTTTTGCTTTGATTTATTAGTAAAAATAGTTATATTATAGGGAGAATTTTAAATAAGGATCAAAGATGTAACATAACTACTGATGGGCCCCAAAAAATTAAGAAATTTCAATTCAGTCTAAGGGATAAAAGTAAAACTAATTTTAACTATAAAAAGATCAAAATATCCTTCACTTGTTATGCAGAATCACTAATTATTAATTTTCTTACTTCATTTGTTAATATATCAATATCACTTGTAAATTACATTCGTTTGTTAGACAAGCAGTAACATTAATTGTTAATTTGCTAACTTTACCAGTTAATTTACTAACATCAATTGTAAATTGCAAGACCTGTCAGTAATTTATAATTGATATTAATAAATTATAATAACTATTAGTAATTGACAACTGATATTTATAAATTAACAAGTAAAATTAACAAAATAACAAATAATGTTATTGCTTATAATTAAACAACTAATATTAAGTCTTATATAATTATTGACATATCAACTCATATAATTTATAACTCATATTAATAAATTAACAAGTAAAGTAAAAAAATTAATAACTAATAATTCTATATAATAAGTAAAAGATACTTTAATCTTTTCACAGTTAAAATTATTTTTACTTTTATCTCCCTATGCTGAACTAAAATTTGAAATTTTTTGAGATCCATTAACAATTATGTCACATCTTAGTCCTTATTTAAAATTCGTTCTATATTATATTTTAATAACTTTAGACATGAACTTACATTAATAACATTTTTTAAGAATAAATCTATTAATATTATATTTTATCAATGTATTTAATAAAGAAATATTAAAATTTTAGAAAATAAAAATTATATATTAATTTTTGTAAAGTGATAAAATTTATTAATTATAAGAGAGAGATGAAAAAATAATGTATAACATTTTAATGTCAAAACATAATTTTAGAATTTTTTAAAAAATAAATAAATAATTTAATTATAATTTTCTCTCTTCCCTCTCTCCAAAAACCCCAAATTTGATAGGAGAGCTCCTTTAATTTTTTAATCAAATAAATGACTCTCCTCCCTTTTCTTTATTAAATACCAACTAAATAAAAGAAAGGGATCAACTCTCTTCACCTTCCCTTCAAAAACCTCCGACCAACGCACCCAAATTCAAATCATGCTGCTGTGCTTCACACGGCTACTTTGGTGCTTACTGTCCTGCCAGTGAGTCACGGAAATACGAAACTTCGCTTTCTGCAGCTTCACAAGTCCACATGCGCCACGCGTACATCTTATTCAGCTGAAACAGAACGCCCTGACCACGGAAAAATTATTATAGTTCATCAATTATCATTATCATCTTGCAGAAATAACATACCATACTGTTTTTATCATTAGCTATACATTTTCATTTTTTTTAAAAAAAAAAACCCTTAACTCCTTAAATCAACGAATAACGTCCCCAAGAAGTGTACGAACTTGAAACAAGCAATTCCTAAAAATTATGCTACACGTAAAAAGTTATTATTAAGTCCCAACCTGCCAAGAAAAACCCATTTCCCCCCACTCATATGGGGCTAGGTTGGTCCACATTACAACATCTACTTCTTCCCAGACTTCCCTTCTATGGTTCTTCTTCCCCGCATCATTGCTGTCTTGTTTTGTTTCTCGTAGCTTGCGTTTACAAGTACTTGGAATTACCTGAGAATTGTCTTCCGAGTTTTTGAGTTAATCGACTGTTGTGTTGCATTTTATTTTGCTTGAGCAATTGTAGGGGAATCATCACAAAAATGGAACTTTTTGGTCAAAGGGAACTTTTTCCTCACAATTAAGAACCATAATCTTTATTGAAATTACAATAATCCGAGATCATAAATTGTAATTGTCATTTTTATGTGGTCCTTATTTATCATTTTCCCGAGTCTAATATGCCAAAAGACCAATGACCACATTGAAGATTCATTGATAATAAAATCATTACATAACCAGTTCCCGCAACATGAAAAAAACTACATCAGTTCTAAGATCATATGGCATAATACATTGTCGAGGAAAAGGAGTCAGCTTTAGAAGCTTTATTGGGCAAGGAAAAACCTACCTTAAACAAACGAAACAACACCCACTGGCTGCTCGAGCAAGTACTTCCACATGAATAATTATTAAAGCCAGTAAGTGCTGTCCAAGCATCAATAACTTCAGAATATCTAATAATTCACCCCCTGTTCCCCAAATAAAAAGGTAGAAACATATAGGCAATGAAAGAATAATTTGGCAGCACAGCACCTTTCCTAATCAGCTCTGGACTGGCCAGCACGAGAAGACAGGATAATACCAACGATGAGACCATAGAGAGCAAGTGCTTCAGCAAAGATCAGGATGAGAATCATTCCAACAAAAAGTTTTGGCTGCTGTGCATTAGCTCTGTAGACGAAAGCTAATTACTCAAGAATCACTCAATGGGAATACGTTTGCATAATCACAAGCAAGACATGCATCATATTCATCACAAGAATAGGCTAGCAAAGACCAATTTGCATTCCATCAAGGACCATACGACATTTGACATCTGAAATGTGCTCATTTATCTACTCAAATCACAGAATGTACAGCTATAATCACAACTTCTTTCTTTCACAAGTCAATTGATAAGGATTGAATATCAATATGTAATTGAGGAGAAAAAACTTAACATTAAAGCAAGAAAAAGTAGAAATCGAGATTGTCAAGAAACCAGATTAAGAAAAGACTAATATATCATACAAAGGAGACAAGGATCATACCTTACACCAGCATCACCAACAATACCAATAGCCATTCCAGCAGAAAGCCCAGCAAGCCCGCAGGCAAGACCAGAGGAGAGATGTGCATACCCATCAAAGAGGTAATAAGATTTGGCCTTAGGATTTATGCCGGTACTAATTATAACAGCAATAATAAGGCCATAAATACCCAAAACTCCAGCCATGACAACAGGAACTATGGACTTCATCACCAACTCAGGTCTCATCACACCCATGGAAGCCACTCCTACGCCACTCTTTGCTGTGCCATAGGCAGCTCCCATACCTGCAATACAATCAACCTAAGTAAGTCTGGATCCGAACTCTCTTAAAGGAATAGAGAAACTCCAATATTTTGTTTTTAACTGCCAAACCCAAAAATAAATAAAACATAACAGCCCTATCATTCACTTCCAAAATTAAGTGAAGATATTTCTGTAGCTATATCCGGTCGCCTGAGCTTTCTAGATTAAAGATAGCAATTAGATTTCTACCATTTGCAAAGCAAAGGTCGTCAAACTGAAAATTCTCAATCCAATCTTCATACTGATTGGAATCATTTTGATTTTCGTACAAATGGATTTACAGGGTTTTTTTGGTGCAAACTGATTCTACGATTCGCGGCAGTTTCTCCAATCCTACGATGACGGTTTCAAAACGGATCAAAGCCCGCTTAATCGACCACTATTACTTCCTAATGACATGCAAACAAAACCATAAATCAAGTCTATTCTTTTCACAACAGTTTACTCAGAGAAATACAAACCAAAATCAACCTGAAGAACAAACTCAGCAGAACAATCCCAATTGTTTTCACAGGACCAAAGATAAAATCCGATCACCGAATCAACAGGAAACTATATAGATCATGAAAAGAAACATATAGATCTACTTCAAAAAAAAATTAAACGACTGAAAAACACATAAGATGGGGATTAAGGAGATCCAATTACAGGAGAAAACAAGCGCAGCCGCGGCTCCGAGGAAACCAAAAAACGGTGCCGTCTCATCGCCGCTGAACGAACTCATTATCGGTTACGGATCTACAACTACGTCAGATAGATCTGGAAAGTCTTATTTCTTCTCAGAGATCTTCAAAGTTTCGACCTTTCTCGGGCTCTCTATTTCTCTGAACGATTATGCTTACCGGTGAGGAAAAGAGGGACGTGGAAAGTATGTGTCCATTAGTTTATAATTAGACGCTCGGGTCCCCAATTCAATCCGGGTCAAGTGATCCAAAATATTGGCCTAATTTCATGGAGCTTTTCTTTAGCCAGAAATTTCATAGAGCTTCGGTCCGATAATTTGTTTCAAAACAAAAAAATTGGGCCTTATGTTTTCCTGCTTCTAGGGACTTCTGCATTTTCATTTTTCATTCATAAATTTTAGTTTCACTTAAAAAAAATTAATAACTCTATCAAAAAAATTAATATGTTTGAAATTTGAAATAAAATCTTAAATTTGTCGAATTAATGTGCTAAAAATGAAATATTAAGATGATTAAAAACTGAAAATGATGTGTCTTCGCTTCTTTAGAGAGTAGATGTTTGGCTCCACTCGTTAAAGTGCAAAGAGATTTTTTATTTTTTTTTTATTTTTTATTTTTTTTGCTTTCCGAATTAAGAGAATCCCAGGGATAAATGCTGAGACTGAAACTGAAAGCATAACTGGCTACGGAAGTGGACGAGCAGAGCAGACGAGAGGGGAGTAAAAATGGCAGTAACACTCAACAATGGCTTCAAGATGCCGATAATCGGCCTGGGTGTGTGGCGCATGCAAAGTCAAGAAATCAGAGATCTTATCATCAACTCCATCAAGCTCGGTTATCGCCACTTCGATTGTGCTGGTATCCTTCAAACTCCCCTTGATTTTGGGATTCTTCAACTCCGCTGATGTATTATTTTCTTCCATTTCTTTCTTTCTTGGATCTTTATATGTTGTTTTAGTTTTAAAATGATCCATTTGTTTGCTTAATTATGTGAAAACTAACTTGCTTTGCTCATTTTTTTCCCCAGATGCAGAGATCGTACCTCTTTGTCTTCCTTGATTTTTCATGCTTCTTAACCGATTGGTCTAAATGATTTTAAGACACGCTAATGCTATAATTCGATGTACACACCTTCCCGTTTTTTCTTTAAGGGTATTCACTGTTTCATCTTTGGAAACTTGTGGGTTTTGATTTGCTGGCGTAATTTCTTTGATTTATTCAGATTTTCTGTTTGGTCTCTTGTATATTATGAGGCTAGGAAGCTTGTATACTAAATCTAAAAGTGATTTTGTGTAATTTAACATATAGCATTGTGTATAATACTAATACCTATTTGTTGAACACGCGCTGGGTTAATTTTTGAAATGTCCATGCTTCATTTAGCTTTAAATCATTAATTGTTTACCCTTGTATGTGTTCAAAAGCAGATAGTGGTTGACAAGATTTGGGTGCATTTCAGCTGTTTGGTCTCTTGTATTTCATCAGGCTCGGAAGTTTGGATACTGACTTTGACATGTGGACACTAAAAATCTAAAAAGTTATCTTATATAATTTAAAACAACGCATTCTGTGTAATACTAATACCTATGATGCGTTGAGCTCACACTGCCTTTTTTCGCTTTCTTATGAGTGGTGCATGTGCTCCACAGTCCATAGCATTGAAGCATTCACCTTTTAACCCTCCTATGTGTCAATAAAGCATTTGGTGGTTGACAAGATTTTGAATGTGCTACAGCTGATTACCAGAATGAAGCAGAAGTCGGAGACGCTCTTGCAGAGGCTTTCAAAACTGGGCTAGTGAAGAGGGAGGATCTTTTCATCACTACCAAGGTTCTTTTTCTATCAAATCCTGGACTGTCTTATCTGTTTGATGTCATTTAAGTTGTCATCGTTTGGAGAATAATTGTATCTTTCCTTGGCATTGTAAACTTGCAGCTTTGGAATTCTGACCATGGGCACGTTTTTGAGGCCTGTAAAGATAGTTTGAAGAAGCTTAAGTTAGGTTATCTGGATTTATATCTTGTTCACTTTCCTGTAGCCACACGTCATACTGGTGTGTCCACTTTGCTCTGTTTGACTTGATGTCTACTTTATTTTTTTGCATACATAGACAGAACTATTAAGTGTTAATCTTTTTTAAGCTTCAAAACAGTAATGATCAAATCAAGCAATTGGTTTTAATATGGCATACAGATATACAATAAACGTTGACACCAAAATTATAGGATCAGAACTAAACCTCTTTTCAATATTCAGAACTACCTGAAATGAGCTTTTTTAATATCTCATGTGGTTCAACTTTCTTTCTTTTCGTTTATAGTTAATTTACCTATTTTTCTAAATTAGTGTCTAGCGGATTAAATTGGTCATGTTTAGGATCAACAAGTGATTTCAATTACACTTATTTTGTTTCTAGATGATGAAGCCCTTGTATTATTTGATGCTGTGATTACATTGAAAACAGAAGCAAGATTCTGATTGAACAACCAACCTCTGTGAGAGATTGCGAATGTTTAACCAGTTAGGCAGTAACACAGCTATGCCAAGTCTCACACAGTAAAACAGAACAAAGGACACAGTGAAACCTCACAGGCCTCTCCCAATGCTAGCATTCAAGCGGCCAGCACTCTCCCCCATTCACACACTCACCAGCACTATATGTCAGAATTCGTTTCAATGTTCCCTCCCTCCTTGTCCAGCTTACCCTTCTCATTTGTAATTTTCTTCCTATTATAAACTTGGGCTGGCATACCAGGCCCAATGTCCCTTACAGACCCATTACTAGATACTTTTGTTATAATCTCCATGCATGCAGGAGTGGGTACAACTGACAGTGCTTTGGGTGAGGACGGGGTCCTGGACATAGACACCAGCATATCCCTGGAAACTACCTGGCATGCTATGGAAGAACTTGTTTCATTGGGTTTGGTTCGTAGCATAGGGATCAGGTGCAGTTGGCTCTATGAACTATCACTATGTTCCAGTAGATGCTCTGTAAATCCTGTCCAGGATTCGCTCTGATAAAAAAAATTTATCTACTCATTGTGTGATAGAAGAAATGAATACTTTTTTTAGTGCATGAAGAAAGAATATACAACCAAGTTTGTTATTCATGCAATTGTCATCATTGACACGATTTCAAGTGCACTCTTCAACTCTTACATCAAATTTACATTCTTAAGGAATGACTGGAAACAGGTTGCCCATTGTCTTTTGTCGATTACCATAAGTTTTATTTTTGAATATTCAGATTTGTTACTTTAATACGATCTTTACTTGGCTGTTATCTAGTAGCTACCCAATAGCCATCGTCACTTAGTAGATATTGCTTGCAACATCTTCTAGTGATTTCCGATTATATATTAGCCGTCTTTACTTGACCTGCATCACTCTCATGTGATAAATATTCAAAGCTTCTTTATGTTTGTCGATGTATATGTCAAATTTGAAATTATTCAAGTTTTCTCACCTACTTCGCCTCATGTTTATGTAACCTGATTCAAACCAAGTTATCCATGTTGGTTTGACTTCTGGTGAAATGTATAAATAATGAAATATGGATGGATCTGATAGACCATCTATACTGTCAAGAAACTTTGATGTACATCATTGGTTCATCTGAGGTCTATACTTTGCCAGGGTTGACTTGAGAAAGCTAATCTTGAAATATTTTTATCTATTTATTAAAATCACTGCCTGACAAGGAGCTCCTTGCAGCAACTATGATATCTTTCTGACCCGAGATTGCTTAGCATATGCCAAGATGAAGCCTGCTGTTAATCAGATTGAAGCCCACCCATACTTTCAACGTGATTCTCTCGTCAAATTTTGTCAGAAGCATGGAATTTGTGTCACAGCCCACACTCCACTGGGAGGTGCTGCGGCTAACACAGAGTGGTTTGGTTCAGTTTCATGTTTGGATGATCAAGTTCTGAAAGTGAGTGAAACAACTATAGGCTTTCTTCTTTTTTTGGTGTGAATAATTTATGAAAGTAATTTAATTGGTTCATTTCCTGTATTGCAGGGTCTTGCTGAGAAGTACAAGAAAACTGCTGCCCAGATTGCTCTTCGCTGGGGCATTCAAAGGAATACTGTGGTCATTCCGAAAACATCGAAGCTGGAGAGATTGAAAGAGAATTTTGACGTCTTTGATTTCGAGCTGTCTGAAGAAGACATGGAACTCATCAAAGGTTTGGACAGGAAATATAGAACTAATCAACCTGGGAGGTTTTGGGGTATAGATCTTTATGCATGATGGATGAGAGTGTCAACTACTCTTCGTAGCATGTAATGCAGTCCTCAAAATGTGCAAAAACCATCACTGTTGTTGGACACGATTGAGACTTTAATTGGCACTACAATTTGGTTTAGTTTTAAACTTTTCATGCTATTACCTATATCAGTGCATTTCTTCTGTTGGCATGAAACCACCTGAAGACTAGACTATGTTGTCATGTAAATTTTATCACTTTTCTCGTCTTTGATCCTTTTAGGGTCCTTTCTCTAGTTGTCATTGAAACTTTGTAACTTCTGGGGTGGGCCTAGGTTAGAAAACTTAAAAGGAATCGGAAGACAAATATAATCTGTGATAATGTTCAATGAAAGTTCAAATATGTAACTAGACAGTTAAAATGGAATCTCGTAAACAGGTAAACATTGGGAATCATCGTTTAAGGGACGCCATGATAAGATTTGGAGCATTGAGACTTGTAATGACTATACTGCTCCAAGTTAACTCTCATAGTTTTCTTTGCTTAGTATTGTCCCTTTTCCTCGTCGTCCAAGAAGAAAAAAGTTGGCATCACTAAGTGGCACGTTCACGGAGGGAGGGAAAGTGCGAACGAATTAGAGGAAATATTTTGTGCAACAGATACACTCCGTTTAACATTTTTTTTAAGAAAATAATTTTTAATATAAGGTATATGGAGGGTTATTTGTCACTATTTTTTTAATGTTACCTTTATTGTAAATTTAATTTTATGACTTATTGCATATTGTATATCTATCTTTTTATTTTTAATATAAGTTGGGAAAAAAATTATTTTAAGACATTTAATAAGTCACTTCCTCCATTAAAAAATGTAAGACATTTTTAATCGAATCACACTCCCAATAAAGTTATTACTTACTTTCAAACTAACTCTATCTTTTTATATTTATCTTTATTAAATATCCTATAATAAATATAAAGTTATTATCAACAAAGACACTTAAAAAAAAAGGTAATGATTATCTCTTAAAAGATTAAAAATACTTCATAATTTTTAACATTTAATTTTTTAAAAAATATTTTATATTTTTTAACAGAGGCAGAGAGAGTAACTGTTATTTTTTTTACTTTAATAAAATAGTTGAAAGCACTTTTATAATACTGACTGCAGTGAATATTAACTCACATTACTAGACCATCATAATCAAGTCAAAAAGGAATATCTAACCTACTAAACAATTAACTTATAAATGCATTTCATAGCTGGAGCATAAATCTTGGTGATTGCAGTGTTTATTTCTCACCTTCTATTTTTTATTGTCATTTTATTAATCGGACTTTAGCTGTCTCTTTGTAGTACTTTTTACTTTAGTTAATATTATTGCTTCTTTACGCAAAAAGAAAAATATAATAAAATTTTTTTAAATTATATAAATGATAATTTATTTTTTCACAATAATATAATTCTACTCAAGTTTTTAAAGATTTCTTTGGCAGCAAATTTTAAATTACAAAAATTATTTTACCGTAATTGATAAATTGTGATTTATTATTGTATTATTGTGATTCTTTAAAAAAATTATTATTTTTTAAATAAAAATTGTGAATAAGGTTTATTATTTCAAAAACTTATTTTTTAGTAAGAGAAATTACATATGACAAATTGTGATTTCCTATTCAACTATTATGATTCATAAAATAAAAGTTATGATTGGGGTTTATTTTTTAATAATAAACATTACACTTGATAAATTATTATTTTTTATTCAAATCTTATAATTTATAAAATAAAATTTTTAATTATTTAAACAAAAATTTTAATTAAAACTTATTATTTTTAGTAAGAATAAAATAATTTTTTAATAAAAAAATTAACAAAAAGACCTATAAAAATTTTATTAAAATTATGATATTTTAATAGATTAAATTATTATGTATATGATTGGGAGGAATTTTATTTTTATTATTAAAAAAATGTCAATGGAGATATCGAATAACTGTTGGGTAAAGTAGGGAGCCAATTAAAGAATTGATTTGACAACATCCAAATGGGATGATGATGAAATGCATTGGAATTTAACTTGACGACGCCGCATTTGCGGAATACGGACGGACATGACAAAATGGGCTTTCGCTTTCGCAATAACGGGCCTGGGCATGAGTTGTGGGCCCAACAGGAGAGTACTGCTTTTATTTAATAGCTTGACAAGTGCTTGGGGAAACAGTGGATAAGCTCCGTTGCTCCCCCTTCCTTTGACGCTAATCTAAGGCCACGTGTGCGTGTAAAGCAATGTCTCGCTCCTTCAACACGTGGTCCTCATAAAGGCCCCCAACCACTTAAGTCAAACTCCACCACGTCACTCATCACGTGGGACCCATTTTACGACAAACACAAAATTTATGATAAACAATGAATTTGAATTTTCTTTTGGCCAAAAATTGATTTTTTATAAAGGCCAAAAATTATTATTATGGTTATCTTTTTGAACTGATATTATTATGGTTATCTTTTTGAACTGATATTATTATGGTTATCGAACTCTTAATAGTTTCCGTGAACAAAGTAAATCTAGTATTTTCTAATTATTTATATTTTTTTATGTTTTTTTTTACTAATGTTAATGGTGGCAAAAAAATATTACTAACGTTATTTATATTACGCATGTTAATGTCAATTACCCCCATATCCGTCGTGCAGCTGATGGGAATGCAATTGCAATCCCCAATGTTCATTCGGCCGTGAATGAAGGAAGTTGGAATCTCGCGGTGGGCCCATTCGGTGCTTTTTTGTTTAACTCTGCGTCCTCGTCTCATTTACTTTTTCTATAAATAATTTTAATGACGTGTTAGGTTTCAAGTCTCTCCCTAGTAAATTGTACTAGATGTAATATTAAAAAAAAATAAATAAGGGCTTTAAATATAGGAAAAATTAATCGAAAAAAGGTAGGTAAAATTAATCAAAAATTAATGTCGTTTTAATTTTTGATTAATATTTTTCAATTAATAAAAAATAGAGATGATATTTGAAAAAAAAATTATTTACTAGCCTACCAAATGACTTACTATGAATTAGAGAAAATATTCTCTGTTATATTTTATAGGACATTTTTAAGGTAAATAAAATTTCATTAATAATGATTATTTAATATTATGTCTTATTATTTTATTCTTTAGATGAATTTTCTTCCATCTTTTATTAAAAAAATATTTTTGCAAATTTATAAAAAATAAAGATTGTAAACATATTTAATAAATTTTGTATAACTTTTAAAATTGCATTTTATAAATCAATGAAATGTAATATATATGATAAGAAGTCCTAGGTTCTAACGGTATCTCGTCACCCCCTTTTATGGATTGAAAAGGCAAAATCGTAGGACAAGATTTATCAAACTAATTGATGTTGGTGTGTTTTAATTAAGTCTATGATCCTCGTCAAAATATTTATAGGCAATACTTATTTTTATCATTACATCATGTTAAATGTACAAGTATTCAATGGCAAAAGGAGAAGTTTAATATAATTCTTTATAAACCATTAATTTTTCACACAATCTGGAACGAATTGTATTTTTTTTTTGTATTTCAACTGTTAAATATAACAAAAAATACATATTCTTTGCCGGGAAAAATCATCAGAAAGCTGCATAAAAATTCGGGTCTTAAATTTGATTATTACCATCGTGGCTAACGAAAAAGTTGACAGTATATCGTTGAAAGTTGTTCGCGTGTGATGGCACGTTAAATACTTAAATGAAAATAATAAGGCTATTATTATAATCATGTAATTTTATTTGAAGAGCTCATAGGCTTTATTCACTATTTCACATAATGTTTCCTCATTTACTTCTAAATATCTCAGAGAGGCGGAGGCAAAGAGGACAACCAAACTCTGTCGCCCTTTCTTTATGATCGTGTCAAGATCTCGGAGCAACCCAAAACGACGCCGTAGAGAAGGGACTAGGTAATCCTTAAAGATGGAGGTGATATGAGGAATTGTCGCCGACAATGGGGTTGACCATTTCCAAATTGGAAGATAAGGATATGGAGAAGAAGATTGATCAAATTTAGATTGGCCTCTGATATTTTTCTTCCCTTTTTGTTTTTTCGTCAGAGATGTGACTTGTCGCTTCTTATTTTCAACCCTGCATGGACCCCAAATTTGTTCTCCTCTTTTTCTTTACGCTCTTTTTAGCCCACATCTTTCTTCACCGCCATTATTTTCTCATTTCAACAAAAACGTTAACGTTAACGTTAACGTTAACCCTGATGTAGTAGGCTCCCTCATGTCCGTTGCTCTTTGTTCCTTGCGCCGTGCTCCAAAACTAAACCCAGCCACGAACCGCTTTTCATCTCATAACTCCATTGATTGCTCCAATTACTCTGTTTCTTGCTTTCTTTTTCAATCTTCTTCATTTGTCGTCTGTCGTTTTGAATAAACCCCCCTATCCCTATATAACCCTTTTCAATTCTGGAATTTATCCCTTTTTTGAAAAATTGGCAATAAAATATGCTCGAAATTCCAGTCTAAATAAATAATTCTCGTACTATTGGCTAATTTGTTATTTCATTCATAAAATAAAGCATGTCAGAAGTTCTTTATTCATCACATAAAATTCAAAAAGAAACAAATATCTGCAAAACAAAAAAAAAATCTTGCGTGCATTTATTATTTGAGAGCGTGTTTTAGTCAATTTTAAAAGAAAAATTATGAACGCATGCTTTAAAATTCACAAGGTTTTTGTCCAAAATCTAATCTTATTATTTAATTCTCTTTTTCTTTAAGTGCATCTGTAAAGTCTTGAGATAATAACCAACGTTTGGTTTTAGTGAAAGGGATTATGGCCGATTAAGCATGAAGTTTCTAATTTAAGTCCATGTAAATGTTAAAAAAAAACATTTGTGAAAGAGCTATTGTCAATAAGTAAACAATATGACATAATCAGATAGTTGTATAAAAAAATATTAAAACTTAACCGCTATTCACGTTTCCTTTCTTTTTTACATGAGTTAGCATTGTGTGCTTTATTTAATTTTCTTTTTAATTGACCATGAAAATATTGCTAAAAAAAAAAAACCAATCTTTTGTTGACAATGTTTACATGCAAGGATTCAACTGAAACACTCTTTTTATTATTATTATTATTACTAAAATGACAAGTTAGACACACAAATATTAAAGTAACTTTCTTATGATCCACGCCATTTATGCAGAGATGCTAAACTTCGTTTTTTTAACATGACAATGCATGGATACGAGACTGTGAATTATATATATATATATATACTCCCTTTA